ATTTTTTATATTAAATTGGATTATGAACATGTTATTTCTATTATGTAAGAAGAGTCGACATTTTTAGCTGTGTAGCTACATTTAAGTCTACAGATTTTACAGAAACATGTGTTGCATTTTCAGAAAATGACGCTTTGAGATGTTTTTAAGGGGGTCAGTCGGATGAAAGGCAATGTCAAGCATAGTTCAAGCCTGATACTCTTTCTTCCTATGGAACACATAACCTCAATCTCTCCTCCCTTCTTTCTAGTAAAACACAATGATTGATGCCCTACCACAACATACTAATAAATTCATCCTTTAGATATTGCTCGAAAATAGCAAATTCCTTCTTCCTTCTTTGCAAAAAAATCTTTTTCTTTAAAAAAACTACGTCTAGTAAACAAATGACGAACAGATACAAAAATTTAATCTCTTTGTGACATTTCTATTCCTTCCTCTTTTGCTTCTTTTTTTTTGTGAGCATCAGTAAACATCGTGATATTCAGTTTTTTTTTTATTTTCTTTTACTATAAAGCGTAATGTGACAATGACTGTGTACTAGAATTCATTTCCAGTACACAGTGTTTTTAGAGCTATTAATTGAGTTTGGAGTCAGTTTGGGGATTTGAATGCAGTTTTAGCGAACTTTTAATTTTTGAATCTTAAAGAATATTTTGAATTTTCGATTGAAAAACACGTTTTTCCACCTCAAGAAATTTACATTGAAATTTGGCTAAAATACATGTTTATTGAGAGGTTTAAAGATTAAGAAGTACTTAACAAGTATGAGCAAAGCTTTTAACAACATATTTAGTCATTTAAGTCACGTGAATGATGTGAAATTCACAAATTTTCATTTTTAATATACTGTAATAGGGTTTAAATTTTAACGAATTTTTTGGTTTTTGAATTTTAACGAATATTATGTTTTTTGGATTTTAATGTACTTATAAGTTTTAAATTTGTATAAATTGCTTATCAGCTTGAAATCAAAAATGCGCTTCAGTATCAACTTCCACAAAACTACCTACAAACATCCCCTCATTTTGCCATGCACTGCCTGAATGTATTCATCGTACTTTACACTTGAAATAGAGAAGGAAGAAAAATATCTACAAACAATACATCGAGTTGTATTATAATGTCGATTAAAACAAATAATCAACACAAAAATGATGCTCTACATATTTTTGTTCCTTCTTCTTTTATTCACATTTCCATATTATTTCAATTGCTGTTTGTTTTCATTTCGTTACTCGTCGTCGGCATTGGCATACAGAAAGAACTCATAATATGTACAGCACTCATAGACTAGCCGTCATTATCATTCGTAAATGAAATTAAATGAATCATTTAACAAAGCTCAAATTGAGTTTAAATTGAAATTAATTGAACGTAGATTAAAAAGGTACATGACTTTAAATTAATCTATATGCTGAGCCATGCACATTCTTGCTATGAAAATTATACGACGAAGCTTTTATTTCTTTATTCTGTGGTGAAAGAGTAAAAAAATATTTTTTCAGCAGTTTTTAATATGAAACTTCATCCTTGTTTAGTTCCGGGTTTTGAGTTCAAGAAATGCATGCAAAGTCAAACTTTTTGTTTGCTCGTGAAAATAAAAAGTCAGCTATAAAATTGAAGAAGAAGGTTGCAGCAATATAGAAAAATTTGTTGTCTAATTGAAATTTGAGAATCTTTCTGTTTTTATTGGTCAATTTTCGTTGGAAATTGACGAAATGTGTTGGATTTGTAGTTGTTGAGGAAGGTAAGGTATGTTGGGGTATGTCAAATTACAGTTTATTGTGATTAAGTGATAATTTACAGCTTATGAAACTAGTTTGATCCAGTTCGAGATGATTTTTGCAATCATTGGAGGGTTGGTTCTCAATATGGCAAGTAAACATGCTAGAAATTGGGTATTGAAGCTACAATTACATAACTTTAGTCAGCAAAATCTAGAATTTAATATAAATTCAGCTCAGAACCAGAAAACAGCACCGAACTCAATTCACAATGCTTCTTCAATAACAAAACCAAGCTCCAATCCTAAGTACAGCAGCACACCAAGTACAAAGAAATCATTTCAAGTGCTTTCTTATGACTAAGCCTCGATTTCGTGGGAATTTCATCATCTTCGGTTGTAATTCTTACTCAACGGCACGTTATAAAGTCCAATTTCAATTGTAATCAATTTTTATTACGTACTGAGTTTATTAGAAACTTTATTTCTCACTTCTATAACATTGGATTTACATCATATTTAATTCTTATTCAATCTATCTTTTTTGCAATACAATAAGCTGTGTTAATAATGTCTAAGAAACTATCTGGATTCTGTTATATAGACATTGTTGTGTAATTGGAAGACTTACGATTACGTCTGTGTTGATTGATAAGGGATGTTGGAGAATTAACACCTTTTATTCATAATTCCAAATAAATTGGAAGTTTTGCATGGGATTAAAAATTCTGCTAATCCATTCGGTAAACAATATTAAGGTTGAGATAAAGGTTAGAAGCTGATAATCCAGAGATATCAATTTTTTTTAATCAGAGAATTTTAATTCGTTGAGCCAACTAGTGACGTTGGGAGGATCTATTGTGAAATTAGCTTTAATCATGTTTATTGGACTTGGGAGGAAGGAATGAGTTATGTGACTTTGAAGATCTACATCTATATATTAATTTTTTTAAAATTAAATTTGACTAAATTTAAGAAACATCAAGTTTCACCAATGTAATTAAAGAACATCATTATTATCATCACCAACAAGGCAGTTAGACACTGTGCATGCTACCGACTTTACCTTCAAACGTTATCAAAAAAAAAATATTCATATTCATAAATTTCTTCATTTACTGTAGTCGTAATTGCATGGCAGTGCGAGAACAGTAAGAAATAAAATTTAATGATGATAACAAGATAAAGTTTTTATGATGCATAGTTCTCTACTTTCCATATCGCACTACACAAGGACATACTGTAAATGTAATTTAATAGGATGGAAAAATTGTGTAGGTTCCGACCGTGAAGTTGATGATATGCAAAAGTTCCGTCTAAGTCCTTTAAATTTCACAGTTTAAATGCTTGACATTTATGAATAATTTTCCTCATCAAGTTGTTATCCCTTTGAGATTTCAGACCAGAACTTTTCATGCTCTTTAGTCGATATTAAGCTCTGATATTAACTGAAATGCAACACAGTGGATTTAACGTCAATCTCCTTATCTAGAACTGATTGACGCAAGTGCTTCCCAAAAAAATATCCACATCGAAAGTCTAAGAAATCTTACGCAAATCAACCATAGCACATATCTTAATCTTATGCCTTAAACGAGATTAACATGATATTAATCATGTCTCGTTTCGCTTTCGTAGACAGTATGACATAAATAACGAGATGGAGGTTTAAGAACCTCTAAAGAGACAGGAAAAAAAAGATAAAAAGAAAGCACAGACAGCGACAATTACTTCCGCAGTTAATTTACAGCAAATATAATGAAATATAAAGGAAGACACTGAGAATTGTCGTCATTCGTTACACTACATTAGCAAATATTGATATGAAAATAAGGTTGAAGAAAATTTTGTGTTTAATAATCGTTATGAGCATACTTATGGGGATCAATGGCACGCGCGCTATCATCGCTGCCATAAACTTATTCGTGTAATTTTGTAATTTTTCTTGCTTAATTATTCAAAATAAAATTATTTGAGAATTACTGTGCAATAATACAACAACTATCATCATCATATGTAAGATATTGGCAATAAAATTTTATTACGCACGCAATGAGCTTTCCATGAGTCTATGTACTTGCCTTTCTTGTTTACATGTCTCAAATTACACAATAACAGTAGCAGACTGATGTGCGATACATTTTTATTTGAGTTTCTGGAGTTATACACACACACCTTAGATTAAACTAAGTTGGGTGTCTGTGGGATGCACTTGACTTGAGTTTGATGAGTTTTGTTGGATGGACAAGGTTTAACTGCATCACATTGGGATGGAATGGATCAAAAGAATTGTATTTACAAAGTAATGAATAGCTTGGATGAAATTGAATTTGAATTTTAATAAAGTCATTACAATCTGTAAGAATTAGCATTTCATTTATATAACCTATGCAACAATGAATCATAGGACCCGAATAGCACAAGTTGGTTGATCGAATAAAAATCTGGCGCTGAGCTGGTATGACTCCGGCATGGTGCTGGCTTCGATTCAAATCCATTAACGGACTTTTTGCAATTCGGGGGAGTGCAAACCAGTGCAACAAAAAGTTCATTGGACCAATATTAAAAACTAGTTTAGCATCCCGAATCTTGTATTTTAAAACCTTCAATAACTGAGATTTTACAGAGCTTTCAACTAAATTAAATCTCATTTCGAGATTCCTGGACAGGAAGTTATCTCTTGAATTCAAGACTTTCTTGTTCATAAGTCAGAACATCCCTAAAATCCTCGTTCAACCTATCACTCCAAAAACAAAAATTTCCCCACACATCTCATGTCATTCTTAGCTAAAACCACTTAAGTATTATCATAAAAAAAATTGAGAAACTCCTCCAGCGCCAAAGCAACTGCTGCACAACAAAGGAAGAAAAATAATTTTATTTTTATTATATCGCAGATTGGAAATAAGGAAGAAATCTCTCTACACATGTTAAATTTTTATTGATTTTTATAGCTTTATTTCATATCCAATAACACATCAAGTATGTGCTTGTTGCCTGGATTAATTAAACTTGATATTGAATCTGACAATGTATTATATTTTAAGGAAGTCGTTGCATGTTGAGGAACAAAGAAAAAATGCCGAAAGTTGCACCAAAAGTTGCAATGCAGATGCAGCTTATTTTACCTCTATTGATGATGAGGGACGAGAATTAAGGGCTACATATTTATAGCATGTGACACACAAAATTGATTTTTTTTTTCTCTTTTTGTTTCTTCAATTCCATGCTGAAGATTCCTTTTTTAAATACCAAATTTATTTTTTATGCCTACATTTTTTTTTTCTCTTTGTTGGAAAATTCCACAATTTTTCACCACTTTCTATTGACTTTCCACTCACTTTATCAATTTATGCCTTATCAATACACAATAATCACACATTTAATCTAGAAATTGTCGATAAATTCATTCAAAAAATGGCATTTTTTCCATTTCCAAAAAAATTATACAAAAAAAAGGTTCACAAAAAATGAAAAAAAGAAAATTTTTTCACTTCACTCTTGCGCGCACGATTTACTCTACAAACCGACGTTGTTGTTTCTGAACTGATTCTTTTATTTTTTGCTATTTTATTTTCTGATGTTGTTTCACTGCGATGAGCGGAAACAAACTAAATCGATGAGAATTGTGGACGATGTGTAGACGTAAATTTTTTTTTTCTTTCTACATTCAGCTGTGGTTGTGCGCAAAACTCTCAATTCTCTCTCTCGTCTCGCTCACGATGCCGGGTCTAATACATAGACACAACTGAATGGAGCTCTCATATTGTACTATCGTGAACTGAAAAAAAATACAAATTTTCTCGTCTCGCATCTTGAATGACGTAAGCAACTTCTTCTACATGGAAAATTATGGTTCGGTGTTGCTTACGAGAAAGGCAGTTACTTCTTCTTCTTTTTTTTTTGCTTTTATGTCTCATTCCATTCAGAATTGTATTTTCTCTTCTCACAACAGTACAGCAGTGGTGTGTACACATACATAGTCACAGTCATATTGATATAAAGGAAAAGCTTTTTTTTTCTTTTAGCAATAACAAATACATTTGTCGTAAGGTGGATGAGATGTATACATTAAAGCGTGAGTAAAAATTGAGAGAATAAAGGCTCAAATTACGTCAAAAAAATTGTTCTTAGAGTGAGAATGGAAAAAAAAGCTTTGAAGGAAGTTCTTTCAACCATGAAAGGAGGAAAAGTTGCTGGAAAATTTTTTGGTTTGTCGGAAAACGCTTTTTTTATGAATTTGACATTATTGCTTGCTTCTGAGTTTTTATATATTTATTTTTGGACCGAAGAGAGAAGGAGACTTCTACAAGAGCAGGAGCAATGCAGAATTGTATCAGCTTTTCAATGAAGCTGATATCGTACGACGAATCAGGATTAACAGGCTCTGTTGGGCTGGGCATGTTGTGAGGAGACCTGTTGAAGCTCCCATTAATAAAGTCTTTAAGAATGTCTTTGTAGAAGGCAATAGATCACGCGGAAGTCCATAGAACTCTTTGAAAGAAGCTGTTGACAGAGACAGTATTGCATTTGATAATTGGCAAACGGTAGCCAGCTTCAGGCACCATCTAAGGGAGGTAATGGATCACAATTGATCTGTACGGCTAGCGAAGTATGTAAGTAAGTAAGTAGTATGTAAATTAAGTCAGATTTTCAGTGTCGCATTTCAAATGAGTTGAGAACTACTGGTAATGGATAGTTGCGGAGTTAAAGTCTTAAAAGAAGGGTGAGGAACTTGTTTTTGTATGGCATTATACTGCAGATTCTACTACAATCTTTTAGACGACTTGAATCTTAGGTCTGAATAACAGCGTTAAAATTAGTTCTATGACGATTAAGAAGCAAAAGTGCTTTGATAGCTTAGTTGGCAAGGTTCAGGTCACAAAAGTTGGTGTTGAATTTGGACTCTACGAGAGCCGTAAATTCACCATGTAGGGCTTTTATTGGAAAATTAGAACAATAGCCGACATGAACAACTAGTTCTTAGATCTAAAAACAGTTTATAATTGGCTGCTGGACACACAACTGCTTAGTGAAGATTATCCACTGCACACTGAGCTAGCGTTCATAATATATATTTAAGAAATATCAATATTAAGAACAAAATTGTAGCGCTTAAAGGTTTAGTAACACTGTTGCACAATTTAAGATGAATAAATAATTCCGTAATGACACAGCACTGTGCATATTAGCTTCACACTTTCTTACCTTAAGACTCATTTGAAAAAAGTACAAAAGAATCAAACCACATTAGGTTTCAGCATCACAATCTCGAGCAAAAATCTCCAATTTTCCGGACAGTCATTCAAAAATCCACACCAATACATTCCTTTACAAAACATGCAACAAAGAAGAAAATGGGAAAATTCTTATCTTTTATGAGTGAATCAATCAATTTTACGAGATGGGCATCGCACACAAACACATTCTTTGATTGTGGCTGAGTGTTAAAAGAAAATGTTAAAAAATGAATTCAAGCCGTTCTTATTTATTGCACATAAATAGAAAAAGTGGGAAATGGGATGAAAAGAGAAGCAGCATAAGAAAAATTTTATGGTCGGTATATTAAGTAACAATTGCGATAAATGGAACAGAAGTGGGATAGAAAATCTAAATGATGATAAAGTAAACGAACAGAGAACATTTCAACAAGTATAGGAGAATGTGAATGCGAAATGGATGGATAAATTAGTTGTGAATGGATGCAGCAACTTGCTTACAGTCTCGTAATTAATCAAGTTGAGATCAGCCTTCTCAATATTTTCTCCTGTCTGTCCATATTTCAATAAGAAAGTTTTCTTTTAATTCTTGTGGGCTTTTCTTCCTATTCAATTTTACAGGAAAATTAAGGTTGACGTGATTGAATTCAGAGTGTCGAAAAGTTCCGTGATTAATTATTAAACTTTGGAATTGGAGAGCTCATAATTATTGAATATTCAAATGCTTTTGAATAATAAATTTTGTTTTCAATCAGTGCTTAATAAAAGTTTTGATTTTTGGGTTAGAAGCTTATTAAAGATTTATGATGGGGTTTTGATCTGTCGGAATAATTTGTGATTTATCAAAGGTTCTTTTGGTGTTTTTCGTTGGATTAATACGTGATGAACCATTTTTGAGGCTTTAAACTGAGTTTTTAGTGATTATCTGTCTTAGTATACTGAATTATAGACCTTAAATATCTGAGATATTGCTAAAATAACGTTTTTTTATGAAGTCTTGTCTTTTTTGACTATCCAGTGATTTAAATTTGGTTGAAAAGCTTTACTTTTGATGAAAACACAGGAATTTTATCATAATTAAGAAATGTTCCCATTCTTCGAGGGTTTATCCAAATGGATTGAAACTTTGCATAAATATTCTAGTGCTTAAAACAAATACAAATAAAACATCCTAAGATTTTTTGAGCAAAGAACCAAGTAGGAAATACATTTTCAATTTTGGACTAGGGGCGACCCTAGTCAAAATCAATTTTGTCACTTTTTTCTTCGGGGGTTTATCCAAATGGATTAAAACTTTGCATAAATATTCTAGTGCTTAAAATAAATACAAATAAAACATCCTTAAAATTTTTTTGAGCAAAGAACAAAATTGATTTTAACTAGGGTCGCCCCTAGTCTAAAATTGAAAATTGATTTTCTATGGTGTACTTTGGTCAAAAAATTTTTTGGATGTTTTATTTGAATTGACATAATTCTGACATAAATCACATAGCAATATTGCTTTTTATAATGCATAGCTTAAAAAAAATCGAAATCTAAAATTTCGACTACCCCATCTGAATTTTCTTCATACTCTTCACTGTGGAAACCAAAAAAAAATTCTTTATGTTAAAACACTCGACAAAATAGCGACATAATTCAGGATTAATTACTTTTTAATAATGTTTTAACATTTACGAGAAAATGTGGTTCAAATAAGTGTGAAGTGTGGCCGAAATTTGGACCAAAATCAGCTATACTAGTTCATAGTGTTCCCGAGGGTAACAAAATTTAAACTAAGTGTTTTTGTAGCTGACATAATTATGACATAAATTAGGTATAACTTTTGAACTGTGTCGATATGGGTCTCGGTCGTACTTCACGCCCACAGTTTGAATCTCAAAAAATGTTAAATATTATATTAAACTCAAAATCAACTCAACTTATATGATGTGCAGACTCAAACCTCAATTTCTCTAAATTGTGACGAAAATCTATCCATAACCCTTAATATTCTCAAATTGCCCACGTACTGTCCATTCACGTTCATTACAAAATATTATTTTTAGCATGATTAATCTACAGATAATCCCCTCATGAAAAGCCGTACCTTTATCTTATACCTAATATGCGCTCAAATGTTTTTCTGCATAAAAAAGTTCTATAATTTTTGATGACTGTAGTAAAAGTAAGGCAAATGTTAGGTGTTAATGTCAAAAAGGTCCACAAACTCGATTCCTTTTTTTCACATTCTCTGTCTTTCGTTCAGGAAGTTAACATCTTGATTTGATATATAGTCCTATTGGATATTCTTTTTTGTTTCTATTCATATCATTACATGCTGCCGATTATCCTTAATGCAGGAACAGAATTTCATAGCAATCTGAAAGGAAATTGAGAAGCTTACTGAATAGTTTTACGTGTCATTGTACGAGAGGAGCTAAATGCTATTATTGGAATAAAATAATGATAAATCAATATGATAAATTGACTATTGCTCGGGGTGGAAACTACATGATGGGAAATTCAGGAAGAAAACAACATGATGATTCAGGAAAAAAACAACATGATGGAATGAAAATTTGATGGGTAGTTCCCGATTGAGAAAAATAATGAGAAATTCAGCATCAAACATTTTCCAATCACGTTGTTTCCCCCCTTGCTATTTGCCTGAATTTCTCATTGGATATTCGCAAAAAATAGAAAATTTTCTTTGACATAAGGTATAGAGCTTTTAGTGAATATAAAAAGCTTGTCCTATATATGTCATTTCCTTTGTCAATGCTATTAAACTAGCTTTTGTTGTGTCCTGTAACAAAAGAACCTCCTTTTGATAGACTTTTTTAAGGATGAATGTATTGTCGAAAAAGGAATGAAAAGTTCAATGGAATTTGAATGGAAAAAGTTTATGAGAAATAAGAAGAAATTGTTGACAGGCATTGAATGAGCATCCGATTCACATATTTTGAGATTTTTTAAAGGTTAATGAGAAATTCTGCTTTACTTCCTGTAATTTTCGAATATTAAAGCTTTTAACTCAAAGGTTGAAGAACTAAGGAAAGTTTATCAGCTTTTCACCATCCCAAGCATATCCATACATCATCAAAATCCTTTCTCATTCATACCATTCTCAACTTTTAGAGCATTCAAGATCCACAAAACCATAAACTCTTCAAAAAATGGTAAAATTTAAGCACAATCATCTTCTGCTGATGGCATTCATAAATATCCAAAAATAGCTGCAATCAATTAAGTTCCAAAGTTTTTTTCCGACGACAATGCGAATTAAGCTGAGATAAGGAATTTTAAATAGCTGCACAACATGTGAAACTTCTCATAAATTTACAATCTTTATGGCTCATTAGCTGCTTAAAATTTTGTGTTTGTGCTGAGTTTATTTTTTTATAGAATTAGGGTTTAGGAGATTAATTGCAATGTTGTGTAGCAGTTTCAAAATTCTTCTGGGTTCGGAGTGAAAGGAATTTTTGGTTTCAAAAACCTTAAAGCTTCCAAAAAGCTCAATTTTTAATACGCTCCAATTACAAGCTCTTCAAGACTTCCTCACTGTTTATTTTAATTTGGTAAAAGCAAGCAACTAATTGAAAGTCATGCAAAGATGTTGAGCCATAAATCATGTAGCAAAAAATATTCATTCTCAGCTCTCAGAATTCTTTTAATGTGTATAATTGTGTATAATAACAGCATAATATGCAGCCAATGCTAAGAAGAAATAATAAATAAATTAAAAGCTCTATTTCATGCCTTGCTTAAGGGGCAACAGTGAGAAGCAACATTACTGTCAAGTTCAATGGCAAAAAAAGTATTTTCAGGCATGTGAGAAAGAAATTGAATGAATCATCACGTTTCAGTTCTTTTTATTCCACTTATAATTTTATTGTGCTTTGCAATAAGTTTCCTTTTTATGAGGAATTTCTTCGTCAAAGGGAGATGAAACATAAATAAATTCTTCATGTTGTCATCATAAAAAAACAAGTGGAAAAGGCAAAGAAAGTTTTGTCTTTTAAAATATTTTTTGCAAGGAGTGGAAACTCAAGTTATCCTGAAAAATCCCTGACCCAATAAACATGGAAATGTGAAATCCCTTTTAAATCCCTGATGAATTTGATGAATAATTTCGGGATTTAAAAGGGATTCAGGTTTTCATGTTTATTGGTTCAGGAATTTTTTAGGATTTTTCAGGATTAATTTTGAGTTTCCACGCCTTGATTTTTTGCGTGACATAGATAAGAACAAGCAGCAATGAAGTTTGATACGAATGAAACGGGTTCTATTTTTAAGAGATTTAAAATGAAATATTTTGGCAGTGGTGGTGTATTTATAAGAGGATAAAGGTGAGCAGCTGATAAGCAAACATCTAAAGAAGAGACTAGTCAAAGGCGAATAATAACACATGCTAAGGACACCTCGAAAAAAACCGTTATTTTTTTGTTTGAATTTTGAAAAACCGTTAAATTTCCAGAAGGAAGCGTGCAAAGCTTCCCGACGAAATAGGCTCAAATAGCTACTTTTCCTCTCCCTTTAGCTATTACTAAGTTAACCTCAAACATCTCAATTCATAACCTCACATTTTAAATTTCATATTTCCAACTCTGAACCTTAAGAAACTTTTGCAGACGAGTCTTATCAAATCCCTTTCCAAGTTTTCCGACTTTTCTAGAATCTCAAATATCTTAAGCAAAAGGTTTTGTAATTTATCATGCAGTATGAAATTCAGAATGTAATCCAGTTGCTGACATTTTCTCTCATTTACGGCAACATGCTCATTGCTTGATAATGCAAAAAACTAATTTAGGAATGTCAAACGCAAAGAATATTTATAAATCACAGAGAATATTAAAGTAGTAAAGTCTAAAATGACCAAGCGTCATTGTGGAAATTTCAAATATGAGTCATTGACATGCACACTTAAAAATTCAAAGCTCTTTGTCTCATCAAAATGACGTCATAAAAAATTATTTACACAAACAGATTCGTCCTTCTTGTATATGCATAAATGATGATCACATCATGAATAGAATGGAAATAAGAGCATACACAAAAATTCATTGCAACCTCAATTTACGTTTCCGAACCCTTTTGCCAGCTCTCAAATCAAGAGGAAAACAATGTGGAGGGAAAAAAAGAGTTGATGATCGACTGCTTTTACAATCAATAGGATGTCCAAGGATCTAGCCTGTAGCTGGTTGTTTATGGAGTCAAGTACTAATGTAAAACAAGTCGGGTTTGATGGGAATCGAACTCACGACCTCAAAAGATGCGATCTTGGACCACTCGATCAGAGATCCCTGCCACTCGACCAACGAGGTACTTATCTCATTTCGGCTATCCGTCATATGCATACAACTAGTTTCAGTGCCTTATGCTCAGGCGTATGTACTACAGATATGCTTTTCTAGCCATATCCACATACCCTCTACTTCATACTATATGTCAGAGTGTTGTCGACAATATTGGCTGCAATATCAGCTATAAATCCCGACTGCATTCCAAGATTATCAGATTCTAGTTAAATGCTACTTTTTACCACAGCAAAGCTTGCAACAAACTCATAAAATAGAATCGTAATAGAATATCCATGATACAGTTGTATCTTGCCACATTTGGTGCTATAAGAAGTATGAAATCGATGAATTTTTCATGCTGGTCATGATTCTATTACTACTTTTTTTTCTACAAATTGCAACACATGCTCGATATCTAATTCATTTTAAAATTGTTCTACTTATTGCTTGACCAGAATCACGAATCGAATATCATCTATCATAAATGCATAAACAACGAGGAACGACATGTGACTTTATTGAACAACTTTTGTCGTTTTCATCATCCAAATGTGACTTTTTAAGAAGTAGCACAAGACGTTCTTGATGGCTTTTAATTCCTTCAAAGTTTCTTCTGTCCACTGACGTCATACAAAAGCACATACAGCATAAATTTCTTTTGTAGATTTAGTTATGTCTCTTACTTTGATTGCTCTCAAGGAAGAGTTTATTACGTAAATTGTATAATCCATGAGATATCTAGATCATTCTAGCTCTAAACTAGTTAAATAATTGATAGATAAACAAATGATTTCGTTTTTCTTGTGACGCACATCGCTGTCCACTTCTATCTAATATTTATCTCCCGTCATGGAATCAGAAAATTATGTTGGCAATAATTTTTCACTATTTGAGATTTTTTGTTGTGCTAGGTTGATGGTGAGTGTATTAATTAAAGCTATAAAGTACTATAAAGCTTTGATTATGTAGAAAAAATCTGCAAATTCTTAAAGGATTTTCAACTGTCAATTTTCAAATTGTTTTAAATTTCGTTAAATATTTTGAATTTTACGTTTTGTACTTAACAATATCCTTTTTCTTGACATCAGCTTTCATCATTTCCTCAATCGGTTATCAGTCAAAACCACGACATTTTTATTTTCGATGACACTTTCCTTATCTGCTTTTTCATCAATTTCTATTTTTCAAATAAAATCTTACAGGATCCTTCCATTCATTGACAAGCTGAAGTCTTAAAAATCCACAAAAGAACTGAAAAATTGGAAATTACAACAATCCAAAAAGGGGCTGTTCACTTATTAATGTTTACAAGATATATTGATTTTGGACATGTCTCGTGCCTGTATTAAAACAAAGAATATTGCATATTATAGACTTTTTCATACTTATTAGTATCATTTTATTTTCTTCATCAAAGACGGTATGACAATTATGAAATTATATTAAAAACCATAAGCTTATTACATAATAATGTTGGATAAGAAGGAAAGGGCAGATAAAAAATTTATTTATAAAATTCATGTTCTTGCTCATCCTTCTTGATGTTATTTTTATAGCCTTTCTCAAAGTCCTTTGCCAAAACAATATAACGATTCTCACGAACAGCATGCATGCCTGCCTCTTGACAAATTGCATTAATGTCAGCACCGGAAATCTTATCAGGTCGTGCAACATAGTCTTCCAAGTCAACATCCTCTGATAGATTCATAGTCGATGTAATTGTTGAGAAAATCAAACGCTTTTGACGACGATCAGGCAATGGAAATTCAATTTTACGATCAAGACGTCCGGGACGCAAAAGTGCTGGATCTAAAGTATCTGCACGATTTGTTGCCATAATGACTTTAACGTTAGTTGTTTGATCAAAACCATCCATTTGATTCAATAATTCAAGTAATATACGTTGAACCTCACGATCAGCACCAGTTTGGGCATCAAAACGCTTTGTAGCAATTGCATCAATTTCATCAATAAAGATAATTGCTGGTGAATTTTCTTTTGCAAGACGGAAAACATCACGAACCATTCTTGGACCCTCACCAAGATATTTCTGTACGAATTCAGAGCCAACGACACGAATGAAAGCAGCTGTTGTATGATGAGCTACAGCTTTAGCTAACATAGTCTTGCCACATCCAGGAGGACCGTACATTAAGACACCACGTGGTGGGTCAATTCCAATTTGTTTATATAATTCAAAATGAGTAAGAGGAAGTTCAACAGCTTCACGAATTTCTTGTTTCTGCATATCCATGCCACCAATATCACTATATTGAACTTCTGGCTTTTCGTCAGGCTGCAACATTGAAATGGAACTATCTGCTTCTGGTGGTAAGACATCAACTAATGCATTACTATGCTTATGAAGAGCAACACTAGCTGATGGTTTGAGTAATTCACGATCAATTGTTGACAGGATTCGAACATAGTAATTTGAGCCTGTTGTACTTCCAACAATGCCTGTATTTTGATCAACTGCTTCCAAAAATTGTCCAATTACTAATGGAACCGATTGAATTCTCTTAACTTCTTCTTGTGCATGCAAATACTCTTTCTTTAGATTACGCTGTTCATCTTTAATGTACTCTTCTTGCACTTCCAAAAATTCTAATTGTTTTTGTAATTTCTATAAAATACAAAAAAATTATTTACTGGATCTTAATAGATTAACTAGTTGTGGAGTTACCTTAAACTTAGTATACAAGTCTTCCATATCCAGCTCCTCTAAACTTGATTCCTTTGCTGGTTTACTATCAACAACTTCTTCCTGAAATTGTACAACACATTTTTTATTGAAAATACAGCAATTATGACTATTTTTTCATGCTTGTCTCGTTCCTGGATATCTTAACTTACCTTATCTATTGTAATTGGTTCAACTTCTGCCATTTTTCTTAAGATATTTATCCAAAAATATTTTTTTAAGAAATTTCTATTTTGCAAGTCACTAGTTTTTGTGTCAGGGGGATCAACCTTCAACTTCCAGCTGAAAATTATTTTTGAAAAAATCGGTTAAAATGATGAATGAAATCTGTTTGAGTTTTTAAAAACCGTTAAAATCTCAGTTCACATTGAATCTTTAAAATTTTCTAGTCAATCATTTATTTGCTGTGTAATTATTTGTTTTATGATGGATCCAGCTGACAGTAAAGTTAATAAGGATGTTTTTGTATCGTCTAAGGATGAGAGTAAGAAAATGAAGCTCAATTGCAGCCAAAATTCATTCAAATTGGGCGAGTTTATAGATCGCGAGCACGAAAATTCAAAAGATCTTCAGTGTTATGTAAAGGTGAATGAAAGGATCTACACAAGGTAATAAAACATGATATACTTAGTAAATTAAACTAATTGTCATCCCTTACAGACGTCTACGAAACTTATTAATCTCAATTATCATAACTTTAATGCTCATCGTATTTGTAAACTTTGGTCTGGAGATGTTCAAGACTTGGTATTATGATGGATATAATGAGTACGATTTTGACTACAAAACAGATTTTTGGTCTAGTTTGGCTAGTTTTCTTTTGACATTGCGGTAATTTATATTTCTTGTTATTAAATTTTTATGTGTAAAATAAACGAACTTTTTAAATTTAAATTATTTGCGGCTTGTAAAGCTAAATTCAGTATTCAAGGATTAATGCCTTTCGTGTTTAACATAATTAATATTTTATTAACTTCATGCATTTCTATTGCTGTTGGTTTAGTGTTTGATTAATTCTAAGCTTGTAGCTGCTTCCTGTGTAGAGTAAATATAACGGCTGTTTGAAATTCAAATCTTCACTTTTCAAAAACCTCATGTTATTGTTTATTCTCAAAAGTGAATTGTAATTCTATTAAAAAAGTTGATTTTAAAATGCAATTAACAATGTCACGCGATAAAAAGCAATGGATGGAATTTCTGAGAACAGAAAGTGACTACATGACGTTCTTATTGGAAGCATTTGAAATTCCAGAGACTGTAGAAAGTAAGTTAAACATTTTTGGTGCCAATTTTCACTCAAAATATAATTTTATTGAAATTTAGACGAATCAGATGAAGAATATCTATTGGAAGTGCCACACAAGAAGCCAAGACTGATGAATTCAGAGAATGAGCCAGCATTAACTGCCGAGGAATTAGAAGAAAGGGCAAATAAGATGAAACGAAAAGTTGAGATCCGAGAGAACTTAAAAAAGAAAAAAACTAAGCCTAAGACCAGCACAAAAGCAGAAAGAAAGAAGGCTAAGGAAGAGAAGCTTCAAAAGTTACAGAAAATGCAGAATTTAAAGAATGTTATGGCCAATGAAACAATGAAAAAGAATCCAAAAGTTGATAAGAAAATCAAGCCAGATCCAGACCAACAAACTAATGGAACTGCTGAAAAAGTGTTCAATAAAGAAGGCAAAATTATCTTCTCGAAAGTTCAAATTGAAGGCGAGAAAAAGAAAATTAAGAAAGGACATAACACAAATCCTCAAGCAAATCTACAGAAATTAAAATCACAAAAGAAAAAGATTAAGGAACTGATTGAGTCAGGTGATAAGACACAGGCAAAAACAGAGAAACAAAAAATGTTATGGGAGGCAGCATTCGATAAAACGGAAGGCATCAAAGTTAAGGACAATGAAGAGATCCTCAAGAAAACAATCAAGAAGCGCAAAGTCTTGAAAAAGAAGTCAAAAGAACAGTGGACGGAACGTAAAAAGAAGATTGAAGAGAAGCAAGCCTCACAAAGTAAGAAACGTGAGGACAATCTTAATAAACGCAAGACAGACAATAAGAAGACGAAATTGAAAAAGGCGATTAACAAAGGACGAGTTTTTTGAGGCATCGCTGACTATATCACATGAATGAACTAAACGACGAAGGTCAGTTAAAGAATTAAAAGTCGATTTCAAAGTTATTTGTTAAGGATAAAGTCTTCAACTTGATATATAATCTATTTTCTTGTACATTTATGTATAAATAAATGAAATGGAAGCGATAAATTGTTCTATAAATGAATTAAGGTCTTCTTGTTCCTTAGAATGAGATAATATAATGATTCAAGGTTGCTGTTGATGATCTAAGGCTGATTATTACAAAATTGAAAACAAGAACTTGTAAGTTTTAAAATTGGCTATTAATTTGACAAAGTGTAGCTATGATTAATAGTTATGTGCCTAATATAGTCTATCAGCCTTTTCAGATCTTCAGCACACTTTAAACTAGCTCATTGATTCACAGAAAACAGTTAAGCCAGCTATATCTGAAATATGTCACACACATTAAGGATTAAGGTCGAATTTTACTATAAAATATATTTTTTATTGCATGTATATAGCTCAATGTGGCTTGATACAAAATCATAAGGAACATAAATCAAAAATATAATAGCTCATGGCTTCATAAAAATGTCAATGTGTTTAAAATCTTCAAAAAAAGCTTCTAAAATTCAAACAATGCTTTCATTCCGTTGCTTTCCTTTACTTCCACCAGTACTCATGTCAATAAGTCGAAACGATCGCAGACACTCAATTACAGGCATGCAAAATCCTACAATCATGTGAGCTAGTGGCTCTAAAGTATCCCAAGTTGATTCAAGAATATTCCTTATAAATTGCAGTATCGGCTGAATGATTCCATTGAAAGTCATTGCTAAGATTGGCTTGATAAGGTAATCAGATGTGGTTTGTAGAAATCCAACGACTATTGAGCGAATGAAACTGTACAAGATGAATCTGTAGATGATAAATGATGGTTTATTAGAGTTGTTAAGGCTGGTTTAATTGAGAGGATGTTGAAATTTGATGAGGAGTCCATCCCTAGCTGCTTGTTGATTCCATGTTTAAATCCCCTGCTTACCTATAAAACTGAATAAAGAACACGAGGAAGAAAGTCACGCCAATATTCAATGTTCCAAAAACTTCAGCCCAAAACTTTGTTGCATGCTCGTGAACCTTCTCAGCTGCATTGTCAGATTTTAATTGTGGAGCTCTATCCGTTGTATGATAAGACTGATGATCACCATGATCAAATGGATAATATTCAGTCTTTTGTGGCTTCTCGTTACTTTGTTGAGAATCCACTTTGCAATTTTCAGAATCTCTGTCAAAGGAATTGGATGTAAAGCAGGAAAACATTTTGTGAATCTTTCCATTTTCAGATTTGGACTTATTGTAATTATCAGGTGCTACGTCCGAGTCACTGTGTGCATGAAAGTGTTGATTACTCATTTGGCTATTCATTGCATTCATTTGGGGATTAGACATGTAGTTTTGGCATGTACATGGATGGAGCTCGTGATGGTGTGTTACTGTCCGTTGACGAATCTTTTTGTTCAAGCTTGTGTTAAGCTTTTGAAATTCTATTTTCTGGGACATAGAAAAATTTCGGATATAAATAATTGTGAAAAAATTGAGGTTTCTAACTTACACATGGATGCTTAAACTGTGGATTGACCTTAGTCTTCATAGCATAATAATCAACACTACTTGATGAGCCTGATTGACGTGGTCTACCTTTAGGTATTTTCTGTGAAACAAAAAGAAGAAATAAGGAACAAGGAAGCCTTTTGTCAATTCTGTGGCATCACATCTCAACATGTTAATTTAAATTTTCCTAACCTCAATTTCAAAAGCGTCACTACTTTCGTCAGCTTCTAATGTATTCTGAACGTTTAAATTGACACTTTCATCAATTTCTGATGAAGAGAAACTATTTTCTGTAGAATCGAAAAATAAAACACAAGTTTTTGTAAATATTTTAATGTGACAAACCATTAGCCCTGACTCCAGCACTTTTAAATTGCTTTGACATCCTCAAATTTGTAAAATTCAGTCGTTAAGAGGTAAAAAACGATGGTTTTTCATTCGATGGATGAAAAATTTGAAACTGAATTTTATCAATGCTAGCTTAAATGAAAATCATTATTTCAAATTGTGCATGAGAATCAAAAGGATTAGAGCTGTTCATCGATCTTTAACGTATCTAAAATGAAAATTCTACCTTAATCTACCAAAACTGTAAGTACATTACAAGCAAACAACACCAAAAGGAAACAAAACTTCCTTAAGGGACCGTTCACTTAAGACGTTCAGGGGGGGGGGGGGGGGGGGGTCAGCAAGAAAAGAACAAAAGAAATTCCTGAAGTTCCATTGTTCTTTTTTGAAAAATGGTCGTTAATATCGGACGTCATTAGTGAACGATCCCTAAAGTGCTTCTCTCATTGAAGAAAGTAATTAATTACCAAATTTTATTATCAATAGACAGCTTTCAATGAATGAATGTAAAGATTTGTCAACTAATCTTCTCCAAAGAGATAAGAAGCTGAGAATGTGCCAAAAACAAAACTTCTGAAATGAAATAACTTTATTCAAAGATGTGCGAGTGTGCAACCAGCTGCGAAAATTCAAACATAAACAACCCAGCGAGTATTCATAAAAGGATTATGTTTTAATATCTGAAAATTTGTGAAAATCCTTTATATATCCACTTATTTATCGCTACAGACAGATTGTCAGCTGAAAGACGAAAAAAAAATTCGTAACGAATAGGATTACAAGACATTAGCATTTAACATGCTTATTCCTAAGAGAAATTAGAACCAGACGCTCAATGAAAGCCTCTTTTTCAAGGGCGTTTGTTTCAATTTTCCCAAATAAAAAAAGTTTTTGCTTCTCATTTCAATCTAAATTGTAAATTTTCTTTTCACTTCTTCGAAGTTTTTTTTTTCCTTTTATTTCCTTTTTAATCCGGTTTTATAATGAAATTGTCATTAAGTGCGTAAGTTCTCTTATTTCTTCTTATTATTATTACATCTACACAATATACAGATTTTATTTTGCGTTAAAAAATTTACAAAGTTGGTTCCAGACTTGCGGCATTTCAATTGAATGTATTGTTTGCATTTGAGTCGAAATTGATTTCGAAAATTCGGAAATATATGTGAAAATGGTTTGTTTACATATCCACTTGATGAGTTTGGACTCGTGTTTTAGAAAAATTACAGAATAATTTGTTAATTTGATGACTTTATAGAGTAGTACTGAAGTGAGCAAAGCTCTCTGTCTAATAACTGTTCAACAAATTAGCCTATAAGATATTAAAAACTTAAATTTTCTATTATTTTGCCTTTGCGTCATTTGTTAACAAAATCAAGGTTGAATTTTTCTATTTAAACGTTATTAAGCATCGTAATTAAACTAAAAGCTGCAACTTAGTGCCTTTAAGGTTCAAAGATCAATTTTAGAAATGACGCAAGTCTGTCGCAATTCCATTTGCTGCTCGCTCTTAAAACGCTTTTCGAGATGAGTTTATATCTTGTTGGATCCATAAAAAATATTCGTTTATTTCCTCTTTTAAACTTTACATGATTTTCAGGGGCCATAAAATCATGAATTTACTAAGAGTCACGAAAATATTCTCGATTAGGAACAATCATGAGATGACGTCAAACTCATTATCATTCTGTTGCTGACTCATCATTCCCTTCTCACTATCAATATAATCGAAATCATTATGTCAACTATCGTCGTCGACATAATCAACTTCAACATCTACTGTAATTACTTGTGCTGTTGTGAGTGCTGTCCACAGAGGACTTCGAGAAGATGATATTGTTGTTAATTGTCTCAGCGAACGTGGGGTTGGCTGCGTTAGCGATGGATGTGACAATGACATTGATTTATTTGTCGATGATCCATTTGACGAATTGAAATGTACTTTCGTGCTGTTATGGTGTAAATTATGCATGGATGTTGATCGATTTGTATTACTGTCACGTTTGCCAGTTCCATCAATTATAGTGTTAAGTATCTTGATGCTATTTGTGATAATGGAACTATTATGATGAGTAACGTTGCTAGTGAATTTACAGTTTGGATGATGACTATTAGAACTATGATTACTATTATTGTTACTAGACGACGCAAAATGAACACAGACACCGGTGGATGCTCGTCGATGCTAGCTATCACGAAAGTTTCTCTCATGGTTCGTTGGTGAGTCCGGTGTAACCAGTAAATCCGTCTAAAATAGACACAAAATAAATAAATTAACTTTATTTTATTAAATTTTCAATTATTTTGTGTATCACATACTACCTGTGTTTGCTCTGGATCACTTTTCTCTTCCACAACCGTGTCAAGATCGAGAGACGGAAATCCCCGACTAATGCTTCCCGAACGAAAGCTAACAGCTCGCTTATTTCCATTTGCTGTAAATACAAGACAATAAAAATAAATTATTTTTTGTAAAACATAAATAAAAAGTTCAAGTCATGAAAAATGTATTGTCACGAAATTGTAATAACATTTAGATGATTTCGCTTCATGCAAATGAAATTCAGAAGAAGAGCAAAGCGAGAAATTATTAACACTACATGAACCACATCTCATTTTCGGGGTAGTTTTGAACGATAATCATAAGTTTAAATGAACGTTTTGTGTGGCAGGATTAGTCGTTAATTTAAACTGAGTAGAAATCATCAAATATTTAAGCCAATTAGTATGACATAAAATCTATCATGAAATTGCCGAAATGATAATTATTAAAAGAGTGGCATTAAGATTGAAAAGTGCTGATAAGCTTTTAATGGCTACTGAAGAATTTATATGTTACTGTTTGTGATTATTGACATCAAATTTGATGGTAATGTTGTTTTCAAGGATAATCAGTTGGATATAAAACAGCATGTAATGTAAAACATTATTCTAGGTTTCAAAATAACTTGTCATTTCATAATTTTGAGGTTCTTAATTTGTAATTGGATCAAAAAATTATTTGTTTATATTTTCACTTGGCTACTTTTGAGACTAATTTTAGAACAATTAAATGTTGATTTGTCATCAAATTGATTCTTAATTGTAGTTCAGAAGTAAGCAAGGCACTCAAAATAAGAAATCTTTCACAAATCATTCTAGAAGATATGAAAATCTTGATATTTCAATTGCTCTAAAATTTGTAAACAAACTTTCTAGAAAAATAGCGGGAATATTCCAATTTTATGAACAATTACTATCAAATTAGAAGTTTGAGACATCAAATAAGGCAGGATGTAAAAACTTCAGATCAATTGAAATGATAAGATCAATTACAAAACAATTCCTTAATCTCAAATAAGAAGAAACTGCGCTTGAGATTCAAAAACTTCATAATTCTCACACTCGATTATCATTTTCATTGCCTGAATGTCGAAAATTTGCTCATAAAATATTTATATCCAAAAATTCTTAGCTTTTTCAAACAGAAGCAAAAAATATTTCATTTTCGTACATATAGCAGCATAAGTGTACAGCATAAATAACTAAATTCACATTTTCCCTTCTCCTTTTTCCAAAAAATAAATGCATGGGAGACCTTCAAATGAAAAATGTGCTGGCATTGCCATTAAACGTTTAAAACGGATGAGAAGGAACGTCAAATTTTTTTTTCTATGTCAAATGGCTTTTCAACAATGAGATGATCATCAAAAATATATTGCATAGAAAAATATTGTCCTCAAAGCTGTCATTCTTATGGAAAGCAGGAAATAAGAAAAGCTCATAAATGCTGAAAACTTTTGTTAAATTCCAAGGCAAAAAAATCTTGAGACACTAAAAATTCTTGCATGTAAAAAACTTATCGCGTCTTATGGTGATATTTTGGAATAGAAAGAAGCAACAACAGAGCAAGAGGAAGTCATGAAAACATTAAAGAAGATGAAGAGGAAACTTTCAAGTTTTTTTCAAAGCAAACGATTGTAAAGCACTTCATGCTGCTCACTTTACGGCGAAAAAATACAACTGTTGAGAGAAGGAAGCAAGCATTCCTTTCGCTTTGGATATTTTCTATAACATGACAAGAAAAAAAGGGAAGAATTTTGCTTTTTCTTCACTCTCTCTGCTCTGCTAGCTGTCATTGTTATATATTTACAGCAAATGACGACGAATGAATGGAAGGAAATTTAATGAAAAAATGATTTCAAAAGGGAAAAACTATCGTCAACATAATGGTTGTTTGTTTGTGTATTGGGAATGTATTCTCATAACATCAACAAAAGGCAGCCTTGATAGTAACAAAATACTTTTCTTTGATGACGTTCTTGGAATAATCGTTGAATTAAATTTTTGAAATTTTTTAAGTGTTGATTGGTGTTTTATTGAAGCCACAGAATGAAGAAACTTTGTTTTAATGCTTTCATACTTTACAAGTGTGTTTAACTAGCTGATCAAATGTTTTTCGATAATTTTTGATTAGTTTCATATCCTTTGTTCCTTAAATTTCACCAACAATGCCTTTAACGACGACTTTACTAACGTGACAAACGTAGTTTTGCTCCCCTGTTGCCACCATTTTATAAGAGAATTCGAAACTTGTTACTGATTATTGTAAATTAGAAATGATTTGGATTTAATTAAGAACAAACTTCCAAGGATTCATCTGTATTTTGAACAGATTTTAGTTTTAAATCTGCTCACTCAAGAAAATCATTGTAGTTGCCACCCCCTGAATAGTCAAAAAATTTAACGAGTACTTTCATTTGCATGAATATAAACAAAACCTCAATTTAAATAAGTTATTATGCAAATTCCAGGTAGCAGATCCATACTTACTGAGCTTATGAATAGGACTAAATCGCACTAGACTAACAGCATGATCCTGCAATCCGTAGTTTAGTTGTCGTTCTCTTTCACGAGCCAATTTCGCTCTTTTACGTAGACAGCAGATAATAAGTAGTGCAAACAATGGAAATCCAAATATACAGCTGACTATTGGGACAACAACAGACTCAGGTGAAACTGAAAAGAAAGAAACAATAAAAAATTACTTTTTCCTCTCTATTTTTTCTCATTATTTATTTAACATGCGGATGACTTGAATGCCGACTTGCTTTGAGGCATTAATTCAGATTTTTACAAAGCATGAAGAAGGAAGAAAAGTTAATTTGCATTTTAAATTGAGCGAAATAACATGCGAACATGTCAAACCAGCACATTGTGCTACATAGTATCAACAGACAGACTCGAAACGTGCCATCCGCTTTTCAGCATGTAACGGAAAAGAATGCTCTCTGTCTCCATGTATCCCTTTCGTGTTTGAAAAGAGCTTACGAAAAGTTATTTGAGGGATAAACTTTATTAAGATCTCTTTTTTATCGTCATAACTTGAATATAATTTCACATCGATGTGGCTGAGTTAGCGGTAGCTTTTGGATCTATCAAGTAAAGAAGTTCGGTAAGACTTAACACGCATTTTCAGTTTATTTAAATGAATTAAGCTTTTTGAAATGACAAGCTTTATTCCTTTAGATTGAGCAAAATTAAAAAGTTCGCGAGAGGAACTGAATTGTTCATAATTCAGCCATAAAAATCGTTTAAGTTTAATTTACTTTTCCTTTGAACAAAATTTTTTTGTATAAATTTCATCAACCGAGAAAATTATTGTCAATCTTTCTTGGAAATAATTCTATAAAACTCAAATTGAGGCATTCCTAATTCAGAGTTGCTGATTGAGAATTGGAATTTTTTTAAATAATTTCTAGGAGATTCCTGCTAGTTCTTTGATAAACTTTAGAGTATAGAACAAGTCGGTTAATCGAATAGAAATCCGGCACCAAGGTAGCGTAACTCTATCATATTGCTGAACTTAGATCGAATCCAGCTAGAATCACACCGGCTTGGTGCTAGATTTCTATTCTATAAATTGTAGACTCCTCCTTATAACTGCCGTTTACTAAAATAACCAGGGGGAAAACTACTTGATGGGTAAAAAAAGGAAATTTTCCATCAAAAATGGTAAAAAAGGGAAAAAAGGTAAAATTCTCATTTTTAACATTTTCCCATTTTTCTTTTTTACCATTTTTTCCCCTTTTTACCATTTTTTTTACCATTTTTTCCACATTAAGATGGGAAATTTTCCACAAAAGATGCGAAAAAATGGTGAATTTCTCATCAAAGTTTTTACCATCCATGTAGTTTCCCCCCTGAAAATAACACAAGTTCAATTCTCACCCAAAATTAATCTCTCAAGACTTTATAAAATGCCATCAATTCCAATTCATAACAACTCACAACAACTCTGTGACCTTTCTCAAAAATGACACAAACAAAAATAAAGAGAATTTAAATGACTGTCTTAAGATACGAACGGAATCAAACCAATCTTTTGCGGAGGGGAGACACAAAAACGCGCTTTAGTTTGCCAAAAAAAGAAGTGTCTGAAAATAGATATTTGTGTTGAAAGCATCTCGATAAATTTCATGGTCGTCATCGTGATATTATTGTTGCTCAACATCATAAAAAGACATTTGAATCGGAAGATATTTTCCTTTTCACATTTTATTACCGAAACACGCGTGTATTTTTGTTTATTAACTATTCCTTAAAGTCCTTAAAGTACTACAAATAAAAAGTTTTTCTTCTAATACATCAGCATAGCATCATCATGTTCATAAATGTGTTTCCGTTCTCACATAAACGACAAATTTCGCTTGTTTCTTCTTTCTTTTATGTTTTTATGATGAATGACTATGATTGCAAATTAATCAGTAGCTATGGTTCTTGGAATAATGTGAGCTATTTGATATCGCTTGCGTTTATGTTGTGGGCTTCTATAAATGTTATATTCGGGTGAAATGGATGAATTGGAAGGAGGAATATAGATAACAAATTGACTATAAAACCTCAATAGGATTGTTCATGGATGTTGGTAACTGATTCAAGAAACAGAAGAGTAGCCTTGATACGGTTTTTTGTTATATACATCAGCTGAACCTGTCCCTACAGTTCTTCCTAGCATTTGCTCTAGTTTACAAACTTAACCAGTTTATACTAAGAAGCATCTGACTCCTACTCATCTTCACACAATCTCTTTCCTTGCAATCGTTGAGGATCCAAATAGCCATCATTTACAAACAACTCCCAAATCAATTTCACTCGATACGATAACAAAATGAGTCACAATATTTTGATTTATCGTCAATATTCAATCATTTTAAATATGCATATATCTCCTTGATCATGCTGCGATGGTTATTATGTGTTCCAATATGCGGGAGATTGCTCTTTTGAATCTATACGTGGTTTTGGATATGAAAATTAAATTTCTTTTAAGCAAAATTTGGCACCAAAATTCAATATAGGATGATTTTTTCTGATGTCAAGCTGCTAGATTGCTTGCCTAACGGAAGCGTACGTCAAATCTTATTAGTAAGGAATGAGGTAGAAGATTAAAAATTCCAAGAAAGTTGTGCGTTGAAGGAAAATATGTAACAGGGGGAAATTGCTAGGTGGAAAATAATTAAAACATTTTAAAAAACTGAATTACGAAAAAAAATGTCAGTGGAAAATGGTTTTTGAAAAATTCCATTAAGTTGTTATCCCCCTGTTTTGTAATTTAATTTAACATTTTTGAACATTCTTCATTGAAAATTAAATTTACAGGAAATCCGTGTATCAAAACTTTAGGCAAACATAAAAAGATATGTAGAATATGCTTAATTATGCTTGAAATACGATGAGAAACTTTTCAGCATTCATATTTTTCATCTATAAAAACTTGACGAACTGATTGCCTTGCCTGAGGTTATTTTCATTGCTATTTGTTCACAAAACATCAAAGAAGATACAAAATTGATGAATTTGTGCCTTAATTTACAAACTACTGATGCTTTAATATCCGTCTCTTCTATGAATAACCAAACAATCTCAATGGAAATGAAAGTTCCGAAAAAATATTCTGCATGACATTTCCAAAATGAAGGATGACATGCTTAATAGAAGTGGAATTCATGTGCTCAATATATGAAAAACATTTTCATTTGTCAATTGGAATGAGACATGTTTATACATATATCGAATGTCAATAAGGAGAATTGAAACTCATTCTGTTGCCATTTGAAGGGCTCTTCAACCATAACCTGCCACAACTTTTTGTATAGATATTGAGAAAAATATCAGATAAATTTCAATAACATTGCATAAAAAATCTGATGACAGCCAATCTCGATATCACTTCTCAGTCTCAAGTTGACGAATTAATATTTAAAGTCATCAAGCTGAAGTGTTTGCATACTCATTGAATGAATATTACTTTTTTGGATGTTGACAGAACCGGTAACCAAATAACTTTGTGGTAAAAGTTCATCATATATCATTCCTTGACATCCAACTATAAGGAGCTATGTGTAGGAGATGAAGTTATGAAACTTGATATTAGATTAAAAGCTATCATCAAGTCTTGAGCGATTTTTATAAATCATAGTTCATCATTTGGTTATTTGAATAAAGAAAGATGATTTTTGTTCATGCTCAAGATGGAACTTGAAGCTTGGGAATAATTTTATAGAAAAACTATCAAATGGCAGCTTTTCTTCCCATAATCGTACCTATTTTATGATAATTTACTAGTTAAGAGCCTTTTTGATCAAAAATCTAGTCCATTATGTCCAAGTTTAGTGAAATTGTTGACAATCTAGTCCATTTTGTTGAAATCTAGTAAATTTGTCAAAACTCTACTCCGAATCTAAAAAAATCTAGTCCATTTAGTCAAAATCAAGAACACTGTTGAAATCTAGTCTATTTTGTTTCAAAATCAAGAACACTGTTAAAAAATCTAGTCTATTTTGTTTAAAAAATTAGCAATTTTATCATAAATTTGTTAGTATCAGCACAGAAGTCACAAGAAATCAACAAAACTAACGTCATCAAAAAGTTTTTAACCCCACAACTTCACCATTTATCAAACAAATGAAAAGAAATTTCTTTAAATACAAGAAATAAACTTTTTTAATTAGCTTTTCTCTTTCCATTCAAGCACATTTCACATTGAACTGACAGCAAATGACATCCAAACATATTGTACAAAGACGATGGCTGAACGGATGCAATATGATGCCTTAAAATTGCCCGAAGAAATGGAATATTCATGTTATTCTATATATTCATACATCAGCACTCTCATGAGTATAATCATTTTATGAAGAATATGTAGGAATTCTAAAGGTTTATTGCATTACAATAAGAAAATTCTTCTACAATGTCTAAAATGAGGAGAATAAATGTATTACGAATTCTGTAATGCTATATTTACAAACAATATTCCTTTCGTTCCACATCCTATAAAGTACACGCGTCACCGCTACGTTAACCAATAAATAAGCGTGTAAATTCATCACAAAATGTTCATTTTTCATGAAGATAAGACAGGTGAACATAAAAAATATGCAGCGAGAAGGTGGATATGATGAGAACGATAATGATCGGTAATTAGGGGTTGATATGTAGATTTTTTTGGGGTTTCTTTGGTATAAAATTGAATTTTAATCGATCTACTTGTTGAATTGATGAACTTTTGTGAGAGTTGAAGAAAAACGAACTTTTAAATTTTGAATTTTATATCTTTGATTTTTGTAGTTGAGTGCCCCTTTTATATATATTTCATTTTCATTCAAATTTGGAACTCAAAACATAATTTCAATTAATCTAACCATTTGCAGCCACACCTTACCATTTCCTAACGAGATTCCAGCAAGATTTTTTTATTGCAAACTCTTTAAATCATCTCTTATATTGCCACGAGGAATTTCATGAAATTTAATGCCAACATTCGAAGCTACTCATAAAACATTTATTGGAATCACTATACATAACATTAAATTTCATTTCCAAGGACTTCTTATTCTGTATTTTTCGTCGTATAAGAAGAGATAAATGACGGAATAATAAAGAATTGCTATTGCTGTATAAATGTAATGCTCGGTTGAAAATTCCTTCGAATTTAAGAGTAGATCTCTTAGCGC